TTTCCCTCTTCCCTTTGGTAAACCAATTAATGTTCCCCCCAAAATATTTGTATTTCTGCCAAAATGTAAGATGTGACAAAGTCTACTGGATTGCTATAAAAGGGCTGCAAATTGTAGAGCATGTGGGAATTCCAGTAAAATCTTCATAATGCCTCAGTTTCTATGATTCTCTACTGTGTATAAACGACAGAAACAGAACGAAGCAGTGCCCCTGAGCTGAAATCTTCTGAATATCAGTTCTAGCCTACACTAGAACAACTCTTCACAACCAAATAAAGAACCACCTGGGAAAAAAAAAAAAAAAGTCAGTGAAAATGTTTATTAATAAAATTTTTAGTATTAACAATTGAATTCTTTGCTTTTGCCTCTGCTTTTGCCTCCCTGACTTAAGTGATGTCTTTGGTTTTAACAGTTTCCATGCAATAACTTTCTGCCATGCTGTTGTGACTCATTTTGGGGAGGGGACTTCTTGTTTTCTTGCTAATTCATTGTTTAGCAACATGACTGCCCTGTAAAACACAGCATCTTCTTCAAGGGCTACTTTAAGCTTCTCTGATGAACCACTGAAAGCAGTGCAAGTTCTGAGGCCTACAGGCACAACTCCATAATCCAGGATGTAAGGGGCTCATCTGTTAAACTGGTTTCAACACCAGGGTGCTGCTAGAAAATGAAATCAGGAATTATGTGTCAGGCCAAGGCTTTTAGCAAAACTGTTAAGCAGAAAAGTCAGCATATGCTGCTCTGATGTTTCCTGTATCTGAAACATGAAAGGAGCATGAATTAGAGAATGTTCCCCTTAAGAAACAGAAAGACTAAAGACTAAGCAAAATGGTTAGGCCCTCTGGTCTCCTGAGTGGCTGCTACATGTACACGTCGAACATAAGTAACATTTCTGTTTCTTTGAGCATTCAATTTAGATAGCTCTGAGCAAGTAATTTATTCCTTAAACAGTACAGGATTGGAATTTAAAAGAATACTAAATAATAATAATAATAATAATAATGCTGTTCTTTTCTTAAATATGCAGGGCTCTTGATCTCTTTACTTGGGCCTTTTTATTTTCCCAAGAAGTGACTGGGGGAAACCTTCAAATATGGCTTCACTCATTTATTATGGTAGTTAGAACAGTAATATTCCTTCCATCAGAAATTCTGTGCGCTCCTTCTCCTCCAGAACTCACCAAAGCAGTAAGGGAAGAATCGAAGCATTCACTGTGATCGTGCTCTGTGCCATGGTTGGCAGGTGGGGAGTGGCTACCTGAGGCAAAGCCAGTCCCCAATGCAGAGGCACTTGCAGATGTAAGGGTAAATTAATTAAGCCAGAGAGGTATAAATCTCTTCAGGTGACATGGCAAAGTCACTAGCTCTTTCTTGTTCCTACACCTTTATTGTGACTTGGACAGTAACAGAAGCAGCTGTAAGTTCTACTACCTGGACTTTCCCTAGCTTTGCAAAATACCAGTCACTTGGGCCCTGGCTGAGACAAAGGCTAGAACCAGCTTTATTTACTACCTCTGAATGCAAAGAGAATGGTCACCAATCGACTATACTGAGTTGCAAACAATATTTCTGAGTATAAAACATCCACAACTCAAAAAAAAAAAAAATCAAATCACAGTGATCATCATCTCTTTGCTGAAGAAAAGATCTTGGTACAGGATGGGAAAATTATGCTATGGCAAAGGTTCCTTCTTTCATTGTTGCCAAAATCTCCTTGAAGTACTCTGTGATGGAGGGAAGGAGCAGTGCAGAGACATCCCTCCACAAGTAACTGGATTTTAACTAATAGAGCTGATGACTGATCTTATCCACTCCCTGAAATGGACAGAAAAGCTGTCTTTAAAATAAATAATTACAATGTGTTTTCTGGATCAATTATTGTGGGAGAAGAGAACCTGGACCTTGGCTAGTGGATGGAAGGAAAATATGGAAGTAATTATGGGAATTACTCAACAGGTCTGCATGAAAGAGAGATCACAAACCTCAAGGGGCTCCAATAAGAATTAGGCTTTTGTTTCTAGGTCATCACTTGTTTTTCATTATGGCATCTTCATCTTTTATGATCATTCTTCCATGATGAGACATCATACCTTGTATCAGAAACCTCATCTCAGGCTTACAACAGACTTCCCTAACATCACCCATCTGTGCTTCATGATAACCCAAGAGTCATTTCATTCTCTACACGGCCACAGAACTTTGTCTCAGTATACAGTCCTCATAATGAAAGCAAAATAGGAAATAACAGCTTGGTTTTTGTTTTGTTTTTTTTAAATGAGGACAGAATGGACTGAAGTGATGCCTGTCCAAACTAAACTGCATTTGAATGGCCAGATACAGAGGCCAACCTTAGAAAGGTCCTTCAAAGTTAAAAGAATTCTTCCTGATCAACTGAAAAATGACATTATTATTTTTTAATTGACACAAACTGAGGAGCCCTCTGGCCTTAAATAAATAAATAAATATGAAAGAAAGCCCTGGCTTTTTCAAGAACTAGTCTGTTCTTGCTCTTATCACTTCATGGTTGAGAGCAAGAGGCAAAGGTAACAGAAGAGGAGGACTATATGCAGAGGAAACCGAAAACAAATTAGATAAAATGAAGATCAGCAGTAACATTAAGAAGCAATAATGCAGTGCTTAAGTATAAAACAGTCCTGCAGAAAATAATCTAACGTGCTCTGACTCTTAAAGACATCCTACGAGACTCTCTCTTACCTTGTTCCCAAGGCACATGAGACATGCACCTGTGATTTGTACAGATAAAGAACTTGCAAGTACTGATTTGGAACACTATGGACACCCTTGCCTGACAAATTCTCTCCTCTTCTTTATTTTTTCATTGGGTTGTTCCTTGATATCTGTATCTCTATCTATCTATCTCTATATACATATGTTAGTAATACTCTCAGATCAATCTTGCCAAGTGCATCTGCAGCACTGGCTTCCCTAGCCCTGCCTATGTAAGGAAGGGATGGGTGCTGGCTGACATCTCTCCTCTTAAAAATGGAAAAATGTCCCTCTTCTTGCCACCCCTTTTTTTTTTTTTTTTTTTTTTTCCTTCAGCTTTTCATGGCCTTTTTTTTGCCACTACTTCAAACAGCTTTGCAGAAGAAAGCTGGGTGGATAATTTCCTCAGAAGACAAGTGTAGCCCATGGATACTGCTGGGAACTAAGCAGGAACATGAGTGACCTAGACTGCCAGATTATTAATTTTAAACATGAAATTTTCTTCAAGAAGATCTACAGCTAGCAGGGAGGTCAGGTTGCCAAACGAGCATTGAAAACTGGAGAGCATTTTGGTCTGCAGTCTACTGCTGCTGCTGACCAACACACCCACACACTGAAACAGCTGTGATAGAGCTCTAAACCTGAGCACTAATGTAAGGTCAGCAGCTCAGCAAACCGCTGTCCTCAGAAACACTGAGCACATTTTGCTTTTCTTTTGAGTCTAGCTATTAAATACTTCAAATATAGCCAGGATAGAATAAAAGCTACAGTATTGGACATCCCACTACTTGTTTTTTAGCAGTAACTTTTCTATAATCTCTGTCAGCATTTGGAGAGCTGACAAGCTAGGCATGTAACATCAATAAGGTGCTCACTAACATGCCTACTATCCCAATCCTAATAGTAGGAAAATTCTCCACATAGTTAAAATTTCTCAGGACCTAAATCTTTTGGGAGCATCAATTCCCATTTCTGCCTCTATAAGCAAACGCACTATTCTTTTACCTAGTTTTATTGTTGCTGAATCACTTCTAGCACCACAAGGTAA